TTCGCTATTTCTTCCTTTCTGCATCAATTACCATCTCCAATTTAATTACCAGTGAGCTGCCTTTCATTGTTAAACCCCCTTAAATTAGTTGCTCATCCTGTCAATGTGATTATCCACAGAGACACGGCAAAAAACCTGTTACTCGCTACTCCACCCTCTATATGAATGCGTCCTCTTTCATTGATCCTATTTATTATTAGTCGCTCGTCTGCCGTTCCGACACGAAATTTTCAGCTCCCTGGAGATCCGCCTAGAGAGATCGAGTGAAGATGAGATGGTGGACTATGTTTCGAGAAGTAGCGAACACACATCAGCTAAGCGAAGCCCAACTAGCCGGCGTGGCGTGGATCGAGACGGAAATTTCAAATTGATTCCAAAATAGTCTAGGGGAAAAGATGGGTAAAAGTGTGCCCGGGTGAGCCACATCGAGCTGGGGAGAGCTACCTTCGGTGAGCAGCGTTCTTCAAAAAAAGCAGTATTTATTGAAACAATTAATAACTCGGTTGCGGAAAGCCTACAGAGCAGGAAGAGTTGGTTTAGTGAAGCAGTGTCTAAAGTGTTTCCAGCATCGAGCGGAGGCCCGCCCACAATGGGCGCAGCGTGTCCTGAAGGAGACAGCGATTTCTATAAGTCATCATAATTCGGTTCCGAGAAGCCAGCGGCAAAAAAGTGGATAGAGGTGGAGAAAAGCGGAAGGCTAAATGCTAGTAGTGGGTGCGGTGTGCACCGCAGTAGGCGAAGTTTGCCACCACACTTATGACTTGTTTCTAAGAAAGTTATAAGATCGGCAACAAGTGGAAAGAGGTCGAGGAAAGAAATAAGGTGAACCACCATTGATGCGGGTCACCCACTGAAGTTGGCAAGGTTGCCCCAGAACTTCTTAATTTATTTCAGAGACAGTCCAGAGAGCGGGAAAAAAGTCTACAGAGGTTGGCGATGTGAATGAGACCAACTGCCATTGGGGTGCGGGGAATACACCAAAGTGGGGGAAGTTTGTAGCCAAACTTATACCTCGGTTCCAGGCATTCCCGGAGACCGGGAGAAAAATAGATAGAGCTCGACGAACGAATAAGGCCAACTGCTAGTGGTGGATGAGTACGCACCAAAGTGGGCAGAATTTGCTAAAAAAAAACTTCATAATCGGTTTAGAAACTGTCCGGAAACCGGGAAAAGCGGATGATTGTTGAAGGAGGGAAGGTCAACATGCAACATGATTTACAGGACTAAAATTCAACGCCGCAATACGTTCCAGATATGGCAAGAGACCGAGAGCGGGTCGAATCTAACATAGAAGGGCAAGACAAATGTTCGTGATTTGTGGGGCTGAATTTGAGAATTTTGCGGCACTGTTCCATATCGCCGCAGAGTTGAGAGCAAAAATGGGGTAAGTCTGGGATCAAATACGGAACATGATTTGCTAGTGGAAAGAAATAAGAAACTATTAGAAATGTTCTAAATGAATGAAGTTCTTCGTAATATGTGTGGTGAAGAGTCTCTGGACAAACAAATAACAGATAGTGGATCCCACGATCACACCACCAGAAGGTAAAATCAGAATCAGTGGCAAAAATCCCAGCTAACCTCTTTTGGATATAGCGTTTTCAATCCTTTGATCATGTATTTTTGTCGATAATGAAAGACTTGTCGGCACAACTTTTCGACAACCTAGATAGAGCAAATAATAATTACGTTCGAATCAATTAGAGATAACTAACCAGCTAGTAATAAGAAAAAGACGGAACCTCGAATGGAGCACTTATCAACGGTTGTATGCGCGGTATAAAACGTACAACGCCAACGTCGATATCCGGTTTCGGAACAAAACATGCTCCTGAACGGAATAATAAAGGTTTTGAATGACAATCCTCCACTGATTAACACATTGAGGACAGCGTGACGCAGCGCGCGCCCCACTTTGCACACCACGTCGGACATCATGACGCGGTTGCGTGCGCCACCAGAATCGTCATCTTATTTCTAGCGCTTGCGCGTCTTCTTCCCAAATCGATTGCATTTATTCTATGGATCACATAATGGCATGACTGTGAACAACACGGTTCACCATATGTTCAAAAAGAGGTTTAGCAGAGGTTTTCTAGGTGCCACGAAAATAGCAACTCATTCTTCGTTTTCTTCTTAAGCTCATGACCACGTAAATACAAAGAGTACTAGGAGTAATCACAAACCTGAACGGATAGCAAAACATGTCTTTTTTCTGGAATAACCACGTCAAAAACACTTTTAACGCCTACTACAAAAAAGGAGTAAAACCTGCTTTCTCAGGACCACTACATGGTCTTTCGATTTATTGGAATTCCATTCCTACACCACCGATTGACTTCTACGCAATGAATATTGCTAAACGGTTCTGTACCGTTCCCCTTTTGCAGATTTATCACTCACAATTTATGGATGTGAGAAGAGGCGACCACACTCGCAAAGTCGCGCCTGTCCCAAGCGGTCAAAAAAATGTCGAAACGCTCGCTGTCGTCAACGTGGTAAAAGAGAACCAAAAATACTAAGTCTAACCAACCAGGAATCCTAAACAGTAATTTCGGCTCGGCTAGATATTGGGCCATAATCGAAATTCGCGCTCTAGAATCACAGTCGATAGGACTGCAGATTCTCTTGGCGACTTCCATCTGGAACGTCAACGTCAACGGAACTCGCCCGTACCGCCACGCATCTCGTCTATATGACATATCCTTCAGAAGCCTGAA